AATTTAAAAAAAATCTTGATTAATATAATAATTGTGCAATAATATCATAGAGATCGTTTCGTTGTAAATCAACGAAATATTTTTTCACATTTTTCCAATAATATTAACGTAAGATAAAAACTTCATTATTTCTAGAAAGATTTGATCTAAAAAAAAAATCTAATAATTTTTACATCAAAATACAACTACGCTTATAACCGAGAAGAAAAACGAGGAATTTTAATGTAAAAGCAATTAATTGATGGAAAAAAAACCAACCTTGCTAATTTCTTCTTCTTCTTTTTTTTTTTTTTAAACATGTATCGATAATAAGAAATAAATTGCTTCGTTGCGTGATCAATCGTAAACGGATAAAGGTATAAAAAGAACTTTTATTTCAAGAAAACGGATAAAAAGTAAATCGTATAAAGTTTTGTAAAAAAAAAAATAATATATATATATATATGGAAATAAAATTATTCAAGATAAAAGTATAAAACATTTTGCGATAAAATCGCAACAAGATGAAAATAAAGCTAGGAATGAAAGTAGCAAAATGAATAAATTTTCGTCAGATTTATGCAAAATAATCGCAGGATGAAATATTTATCGAATATTTCATATATTACATATTTTATTACGATATAAATATATTATATTATGAATATAATACGTTTGATACGTATTCCCCCCGTCATTTGTACGCAAATAAATTACATTTCTCACGATGAATAAATAATATTTTGCAATTTTCAATTAAACGTTTAATTGACACTAAGATAATGAATTATTAATTATAATCAAGTAAGAAGATCATCGAGCCCTATCTTTAGTTTCGCCCAAAATAGAACGTTGAAGTTTTCGAAAAGAATTGGTTCAATAAAGCGAAATCCTATCGCGATTTTTTTCTTCGAATTACAATTGAAAAAAGAGAAAGATCGAAATTGAATTGTCAAAAAAGATTGTCCCAAGTTGATCCAACCGAGTAACGACTTTGGAATTAAAAAGTTTCTCGCGAAGATCGAGCCAAGAAGTAGTTTAACACTTTTGAAAATGTATTGTTTATTTTTATCCTTGCAGAGAAAAAGATTCTCTTCGAAAGGGGATAATTATTTCCTCTTAATTTTTACTGCATTGTCCAAGAAACGTTAGGGCAATCATTTTTTATCCCCTTTGAATTTTACATCGTGTGTAGAATGAAGAAATAAGAAAATCTTCGATAAATCTTTTTACTTTTTATTATATAAAAATTTAAAAGAATTTAAAAAATTTCTTTTTGACCTATTTTTTTTTATTTTTCGATATGAATTCGATATTTTTAAAATTCGACTCGTTAATTTCAATTTCTTCCCTCGCAATAATATTTACAATGCAACATTGCTTACTATTAAATATGCAAGAGACAGAAAAGCCTGTACGTTTATTTAGTCATTTGTTATTTATTTAATCATAAATAATCTTTTATTTTGTTATCGACTGATAAAATTATCAATATTTGTCGACCGTTAACGTTCCACTTCGAAATCGTGAGATCAATTTCTCATTACCCATTCGATTCGAGTCGTCCATTTGCTTATAGATCACACACGTATGATTGCGTATATTTAATCCAGGTTATCCACTTCCAAGGAAGATTTCTGCTTGTAATTATTTATGAAAGATATATATATATCAATTACAAAAGTGACATAACTTGCAAATATATATTTTTCTTTGAATGTCTTTTCTCTTGATTAAAATTGCAAAATACCACTTCAGTAGCTTCATTAATTCATTTTCTCGAGAAGAGAAACGAAACTCTTGCCAAAGTTTCCGCATGCACGACTACAAAGACATATTTCAATCGTGGCTTTGTACAGGGAAGAGACAGAGATTCTCGCTATTCTCGATCGTAAATCGATTTTACGATATTAATTTTACGATCGAGTTTTGGTTTCGACTTTGGGACAAATGGCAATAATTCGCTTGAGACCAAAAGTATCTATCGACGATTCGAAACTTGCATCCCTCGAAATCGAGTTACTCGATTCTCGAAATGACGATTTGACTTTAAAAGAAGAAGAAGAAAAAAAAAAGTTCATCAATTTCAATCAAATTTTACAATTATCGTTTTGTTTACCGCCAAGAAGCGTCCAATGTTTCGATAAAATTTTATTTAAACAGGGAAAAAGTGATGACGTCGCTTGAAACTATGTAAATTTGCTCGTATTGTGTGCAGCTGAAAATTGGCCAACAGAAATTTCGATCTTCTTCATTATCGTGGAAAATTCTTCTGGAAATTTCGCCCGTCTTTTTTTTTATTTTATAACAAACGAGTGTCGTGCATTGTAACACACACAGTTGTAACGTGTTAACACTGAATAAGTGTTCCTGAATAGGTGTAAATGTATTTCTACGAATAAGCTTATTAATTACCTCGAATAAATAGTTGTTTGAGAGTGTGCAAGTGCATTTTATTTATTATCCGGATCGATACATTTTCGAGCGCATATTTGATAAAATATATCGTTAAAAATGAATTTTACGCGACAATAAAATAAATATTTAGATTTAAATATTAAGATTTTTTTTTCGTTCTAATCTAATTAGATTTTTCCAGGAAAAAGTATTCGTATTCGTGATGATCATATCAATGCATATCAGTTCGTGAAAACGCTCACGTATCTCCATTTTCGTGTTGTACACGTAAACACACGCGAAATAAAAGTGGAGATATTTTAAATTTTAAATAATCATTATATATTTCGCTTGTACTTTTAAACTTTTATAAAATCGATGCAAAATATTCGTAACTTTCGATCGATTAATTATTCTTGTTTTTATGTTATTTGTTATTTCTAAAAAAAAAAAAAAAAAAAGAAGAAAAAGAAGAAAAGATTTTATTCGTTCGTTCAACGATTTTTGATCGATCAATCCCTCTCGTTATTCAAGTCATTACGTGGCAAGGAAACGTAGAGAAAAGTTTCGAATAATTTTTCGCTCGGAAGATGGTATTTAAGAATTCATGGCTGTTCGTTAATAACTCGGTTCCTTTCGATTATTCAAAATTCTTCATTATTCTTTACGTACGAGGAAAAGTTTTCGAATAATTCCGCTCGCTCGGAGGAATGGTTTTTAAGAATTCATAGCACTTCGTTAAATTCTTGCTCACTGTTCTCCAATCAAACTTGATTCCACAAGAGACCGTCTCGCGCAACTTCAATTCAAACAACTCATTTGTTTCTCAAACTTTTGGCATTTAAACGTATCTCTCTTAATAACTTTTTGCTACTTTTTTTGTCACTGTTAAGTTTATATATGCATTTCGAAACAATTCGAAGAGAGGAATCAAAATTATTTATTTTTAATCATAAAACTGATTGTTCGAAACTTATATACTTTCCTTTCAACGAACCTCGTACGATAAGTAGATTTTCCAATTAATAAAAATTGTCGTTTTTTCGAAATCGAAAAATAATATTCTAATCGGATTGAAATTTATCTATCTATATATATATATATATAAAACTTTTCACGGGATTTCTTTTCAGCGATGCTTACACAAGTAGATTTTGCAGATATCCGAACTTGGAACAAACGATTGATATAAAGGCTGACGAAGACGAACGCCGACGAGTCGTCGTGATCTCGTCGTAATGGGTGACGTTACCACGATTCAGCAAGTTTATAACTTCTAACGATATACACGATCCCTCATTGTAGGATCTTCTCACTCGAAACCATGTAATAGGATTTAACCAATCTTCTTTACCATCTGCCGAATATTTCGTTTAGTAATAATAGTTCAATGATAAATGAAAGAGATCGAAAGTTTGTATAAGCTTTTCAATGTAATTTCTTAATAAGCCTTCTTAAGTAACACTCTGTCATGCTTTTATTCTCTGTTGAACATTCTTGACTATCTTCGCGTGCATTCAATTTGTTCAAAATTCTATTAAGAAATAAATATATATATATATACGTTTAGAATAGAATTATATATATATATATATTGTAATTTAGCTTTGGAGATATTTGATGCTCATTTTAAATACTAAAGTAGATGTATTAAGACGATGGACTTAAACTTTGGAAAGAAGCTTAATATCCTTCTTAAGTATAAAGATGGCGCTGGTAGTTAATGATCTTCTTCGAAAATTCTTTACGTATGCAAAACCGTATCCATCGTGATGTAACATCTGCAACAGGGAGGATGAGCAGGGGTCAGAGAAGACCCAGGTGCTTTACAGCTGTCATATCCGTTAAATTATTCGATACACCGTGTGCTATTTAATCTATTCAATTTGATCGTCGGCACAATCTATGTCATTTTGGTGCAATTTATGCCGTAAAAAAAGAGATATTAAAAATTCTTGGGCTCGTAAAATTTCTCGAAGCACGAAGAAGTGAAGCCACGATTTTTTAAATATTATTTTCCAACTGTCATTTCAAAATGATTCTGAAATAATATGCATAACTTGGGCGGTTTTTGTAGGATTAAAGCAACGAGATACAATGTAATCGCAGCTATAAATTTGATACGTAATATTTTCAGCAAAATCGATGATGCATATAATATTTTGGAAACTGAGAATCGGTTATTTCGAAGAGATTTATACATTGGAAGACATTGTGGTTTTTAAAGAGATTTTTCTTGTTAAAAGGATATTTACTTTTTTTCTTTCTCATCTTAAAAAACCAATGTATATCTAGAATAAAATATGTACACACAATTTATTGTAACAATACAAAATCTCATCCCAAGATTTTTATTTATTTAAATCCTATAAATTATGTGCTAAAAATTTTCAAATTCTCTTTATAAACTCCACAATGAAAATGATCCACAATGAGATGGACAAGAAGCGATTAATAACTACTTATAAAAAATTACAGAAATCAACAAAAAGAGGAAATAAATTTTAATTAAAAATTGATTCGAATAAAAAATATCACATATACATATATATTCAAACGACACGAAAATTTTACTAACCAGACAAATCCCTGTTTATTTTTTTCAGAATCGTTACCGGAAGATCAAATTTACAAGATGAAGAGAATCGATTCCGTGTAGATAGATAGGGCAAAAGCCCTAAGTTTCCAATCATTTAATCACCGATTGCCGGCCATCCATGGATGGAACACGGAACATCGATCAAATTATCGCGTTGCACAATATCGTGAACCCTCCCCACCCACCCATCCCCCGTTAAATAGGGTTGAATTGTGAACGACCGTTTTGAATAGAAGATCATGATGTCGGTCACGAATTACAACGAAACCGATACCGGCACGGTGGCCAATTATTTTGGTAATTCCGATTTGGATCAATCGTTCGCCACCAATCTGCCCCAGCCAACAGCTACGTCCTCCGTTTTGAACGTGACAACGTTGCCAACAGTGCCAACGGCCACGAATTACGGCCAAACGAATCTGCTCGAGAGTTTGATCGTCCCTCTATATGGAATAATATTTCTGCTCTCCATCGTTGGAAATTCGTTGGTGTTGATCACCCTGGCCCGTAACAAGAGGATGAGGACCGTGACCAACGTTTACTTGTTAAATCTGGTAAGCGGAATTTTTATATTCATTTCTCCCTGATATCCCTTAACGCTGATATTTGTTTGCTTCCTTCTTTCCTCCAATTTCCATCCGGATAAATAATTTTAGTTAACGAACCGGATTCTTACTCGATCATTTCTTTCAATTGGATTAATTTTGTAAATAAAATTTTGCGCGAATTTCGTTTTGGAAGGTGGATCGCACGTTTGCGAATGGTAATTTATGAATTTGGAGGATATTTTAGTGAGAATTGTTGTTGGGACGAATCGTAGTATGCGTTTTTTTTTTTAGTAAATTTCGTTTTTTTTTCGAGTCGATTTAAATAGCCCGTGAGAATTGAATAATTGGCTGACAGAAATTTTGTTCAAAAATTTTATTTTTCGTATTTATTGAATATCGAGCAAAGCGAAATAACGAGATTTTTTTTTTAGGTATCGGAATAATTGTAGCAAGTTTTGAATTATTTCCACTCGATTCATTTGGCCTGTTACACTTTAAGATTATGAATGATGGATGTGTTTCAGAACGGTTAAACTTGATAAAGCTTCCGGTAATATCTATTGGTAACGAACACGGTTCGTGCTTTAGCGCGAGGCGCACAATAGGGTGGTGAATTTTTAGCAACATTTATTCTGAAAACAACCTTTGAAAACAGGCAATTTCGTAGGCTATTTCGGTCGAATTTTAATGTAAATTAAAAAAAAAAATATGCTAGTGCATTGCTTGTAATAATACAAATATCATAAAACTTCTTGAAAAAAAAAAAATATCTAAAAAAGAAAAAAGATGTTCCTATCCATTATATTTATCACGTGTACGATCTCGAAATGCATTCGAAGGATTTCCTCCTTCGATATTCTCAACCAGGTATGACAGATATGACAGATGTTTATCCTGATAGGATAACTTAAAGGTATGAAATAATACCATTTTACCATTCATTGATTATTTTGATCAATTAAATTACAAGAAAAAGTGTTAAAGGAACGAAAGTGGAATTTTTTACGAAGGTAGAAAAGGGATTATAAAAACTAATGAACCAAAAATTTTATCCTTTAACTTCGTATGTCCCCAATTAGAGGTGGATCTAGATCATTTTCGTCCGATGATTTCCAATCGATGTTTTATTCAAATTTTATTCAACTTTTGTTAAAATTTCCGAAAATTTTGTCCAATTTATTAAAACAAAGAAATTATTGGAATTGCGCGGATCGTACATTTTCGATGTTCCCATCGAGGGAACTGAGGATCAATGCAAAGCAGAAAATTCGATCATTTTTCTACTTCAATTCCATTCTTGCACGAAATATTCGTTTTTCCTTTGCACGCCACTTCTCAACAAAACCTTTATTGTTTCCTACGACGAAATTGATTTTCGATCAATGCCGTCAAAGAGTTTTAATCTACGTACCACGGATTATTCTCCACGCATAGCGAAGGGAACAGAAACCTACTATCTATTTTTCCTTTATACACAGAGATATTTCTGTGTAATTGCTTTTCGATTCTGAATGTGTACTATGCTACGTGTAAAAAAAAAAAAAAAGAAAGAAAAAAGTGTATAATTTAACAATACGCATCTCTGAATCTAATAGACAGATCTCTGTATCAATGTTTCAAATAATCTTCTTAACAACTTTTGGTTTGTAAGTATTTGATATATTCCTCTAGTTTTCGATATAGACTTTAGACTGGAATGATTTGTGGATAAGAAATTAAACAGACATTCTAAGAAGATGAATGTCATCGTTGGAAGAAAACTAATGGTCCATGTAATTCTTTGTATCTTAATGTAAACGATAAAAATTTATAAATTTTCATTTATAAGAAGAATGAAGGGAATCGTGTTTATTTTTATCTCGTGAAAAAACACATGAAGCAAAATTATAGAAATTATAGGAACGAAAATCCAGTATAATTAAGTCGCGAATTAATCCTTGGTGAATTTACATTAAAATTAGACTCACCTTTGTACATGTGGTTTTATTATAATTTTATTTCATTTTTTTTTTTTTAGATTATTTGCTAATTCTTTGGCTTACATTTTTAATTTTCTTAATTAAACTTTAGAGCAACGTAAATATAATGTTTGAAAGAAAATCGTTCTTGGTAATTTACGTAGTTTATCATTTCGGAATTTCTATTTTTGAGATATTTGAAAAATAATAAAAAATAAAATATTAAAATAAAGCAGAAAAGTTTTATATGTCAAAATGTGATGAATCATTGATGAATCGTAAAAAAATGTAAATATAACAGTATATGGTATAAAATGGTAAATTCAAATTTGAGGGAAAAATATTCTATTTTTAACGTATCGACGCAATAAATTGCAGGATTATTTTGTGTGGATTGAGGTTTGCGACACGAATTCGAGTTTACCCTACGGATTTGCATAAATACTGTTCGTAATTTATTTGATATGATTATTTTTGATATTTAGAACTTGTCATTTTCTGCAGTAGCTTAACTTTACGTTAGTTTAATAGAGAATTGAAGAATTATTTTTCCAGTTTAATTATTATATAATTAATTAATAAATATTAATTAATTCCGAATCACGGGCAATTATAAATTAACTATATTTCTACAATGGCATACAATTGTCAATAATTTCGAGTTATATAATGTTGAATTAGCATCAAATTATTCAAATTTTAAAATTATTGCGATATACGTAATGGAGAAACAATTAAAAATTTTTGAAGGAAACTTATAAAGAGAGAAATATAATGAAATGCTTTAATAATTCTCGTCCCTTTGTGATAGTTAAAATTGAAATTAAGTTTGATATATAGCTTCCTACATGTATTTAAAATTACTTTTTATCCGTTTCTTTTATTCAAAATCAAAATTCAAATATATATATATATACATTATTTTAATTAAAAATCATTTTTTCACAAATACAAGTTTTCAATTTTCCAAAAAATTCAGATAAAATGATAAAATAAACACGTGAACATACAACTTTCTGTTGTTCAATCAAAATTATACAATATATATTTGACGAAGCGTTGTAAAACGACAAAAGAAGGAAATCTCACCGATATTCGATTAATTAATTCAAATGGAAACGAGTATCATACGAGTATTGAATAATTGTTGGATTTATCTATGATCGTTAAACACGATATCTGGAACAAATTCACGGCAAAACTTCACCATTAGTGATACACATGAGATTGGAGAGAGGTAAGCAAAGTCTCTATACCTTGGTTGATTGAATTTCTTCTCGTGTTTCACTGGAATAACAAACATCTATCGGTATTCTAATTTCGTTTCGCTGTTTGCTCGCATTTTTCTTAACGCGTAGGAGGTCGACGTTCTATAAATTTCGTAGCGAGATTGCGTGAGTGATTGCATTCTACAGTGCCAATTTTCAATTGAAGTTTAATTTTCATCAAAGTAGATGCGATTCAATGGAATGGAGAGGTATCGCCAGGATATCACGGATAAATTAAATTCGTAAAAATATATTTGATTAATTTTAATTCGTCTTTCTCTTCGTAATTCTCTCGTATGTTATCTCCGTGTAGCAATGATTGACTTGCACTACTCGCTTGATTATGATCGGTTTGCTCCACTTGTCCAATTATGACGCATCTCTACTACTTTGCGCCTGTATTTGCCATAATCGTCTTATTCCACTTCGTCTGACCACGATGGCGTTAATCCACTTATCTGGCTACCGATTGTTTTATTCAACCGGAGTACGTCTGTATTTATTTCCCTTTGATCGAGAAGATAGAGATAAATGCGCATAAGTGAACAGAAAGAATTGATGACGTTGCTCAATGCGTTACAATTTATTTTCTTTTCACTTTCGATTAATTTCTGTGAAAGTTTGCAATGTTTTATATGAAATCTTTCGTTAATTTCCAGGCAGTTTCGGATCTGCTGCTCGGCGTCTTTTGCATGCCTTTTACACTTCTTGGACAAGTTCTGAAGAATTTCGTTTTTGGTATAACGATGTGCAAACTCATACCGTATTTTCAAGGTATGTATCATTTGATCGTTGTAATATACAACGAAATTTATTTGGATTCCGTTCCATTCAAAAATTTAACTTTGAAATATGAAATAAGATTTATAATTGAATAAGGATTCTTGTAGAAAGAATGTAAATGCGAAAGACTTTTGCGAAAGACAAATAGAATAATCGAAACATAAGAGATAATTTTGCATTTTAATGGATAAGGAATGAAATTTTACGTTAAATAAGAATAGAAATAATAAAAATTAGGATATTAAAGATTTACATATCATGGTGGTACATATATCGGAGTAGAATTATTTCACGAGATTTTATATTTTTAATTTTCATAAGTTTCTAAGGGAAACCGTGCTACGAAAATGATAAAGAAAATAAGAAGGTTTCTTGTTAGTATCGACTTTACGATTTAGTTCCAAGTTTAATCAGATTTCCAATTTTCGTATCTAAGATACATCAAAAAAGTTTTTCAAATGATTGACACGTTAATCACTTTTAGGATCTTATTTAACTTTTCAAGATGTGAATAGCATTACCTTCACCAATTTTTTTTTTTTTTGTAATATTAAATATAAAAATATATTGATATAAAAACAATTTATATTTATTTAAAAACCATACGTACTAGAGATCATGGTTTATAATTATGATATATTGATAAACACGTGTGCAAACATATGTGTTGAACGCGTATGGAAAAAGAGATCTTCAAATATGTACAAGCAAATATTGAAGCAAAAAATTAAAATCAATAGAATCAATTTTGTAAAATGTTTTTAATTTTATTAATATTTTCGTATTTTTGTCGTTCGATTTAAATATCGATTATTATTTTTGTTAATTATTATTCGTGAAATTAGTAAACGGATATCGGTATTAAATTTCTACGAATTCTTTTTCGATTTATAAATTTATACAATTGTGTTTCCGCTTTAAAAGGAATTGCAGTGAATGGATGCTCAAACAAAAGATTAATAAAATATCGAAAAGTGTTCGTATTCGATTGAAAAGAGAAAGTGAAACGAGTATTAAATTCGTTTAATGAATTAATGAATTAAACGGTTATCGGCACAATATTAAATTATTTCTCGAAATAATAATAAAAATGAAATAAATCGTGATAAAATCCATGTCAAAATTCTGCGTCACGATTCAAATTTAATCGGTTAATAATTTTTATTTTACAAAGTTTATCTCTTCTAACTAAGCATGCGTGAAAAATATCATCGTTCCGAAAATATCATCACACTGAAAACATGTTCGATAGGGCGAAATTGCATTTCCGATACAGCTTTGCTTTGCTACATAAAATAGAGATGACTGTTGGCTGAAAGACGTCGTTCGAAGTTCAGCTTTAGTTTCCAACAAATTTTACGAATGTAGAATTTCGATCGTATGTCTTCAGATATGGAACAAACGTCATCCATAGAAGTTTCGAAGCTGGAATCAATATATAAATGGAGTTAAAAAATAAAAGGCTGCAATTGTTGCATCTAAAAAATTAATAATATCGTAGAACGATATTATATATGCGCATGTTTACTCTTTCTCTCTCTCTC